TAATATTTAATATAAAATAAAAATTAACTAACTAATTAATTTTAAAATAAATATTAATTAAATAGTTAATATAACTTTTAATAATTATTTGTTAAATCATTTAAGTAGTTTAAAATTTATTCTTTTTTTTTTAAATTTTTAAGGCCCCCGGAAAATTGGAAAAGACGCTGGAAAAGTGGCTGCCGGAAAGCCACCAGAAAATTCCGCCGGAAATTAGTGATTTTCCTGTAGTGATTATAAGGTTTTATTATATTGTTATAATTTCGATAGCCTTTACCCATGCTTAAATTTTATGGTTTTATATGATTTTTTTATTAATTGATAGTACTGATATGATGATCACTTTATTAATTTAACACTGGTATTAGTTTACTGATTCATCCACTATACTATTTTCATAGCTTCTATACCATACTATTTTATTATTTACATTTTCTATTGTAAGCTAATACATATGAGTTTTATTATTTTTGTACTGATTTTTGATCATATGACTGTTATTATTATGAATTAACTCATGACATGCATACTACTTCTTTACAGTATTTTGAATTCATTATATATGATTTAAATGATTTCAAGTCAGGAAAAAAAATTCATGAGTATGAGACTTATCAGAATTCCACAAAGTTCTATTTTTTATTTTAGATATTCTTTTATACTCATGAATGGAAAGACATATTATGATTATATGATTCATGAATATTGCATATGAATTATTTTTGGATCAATGAATATAGATGTGTATTAATGTTTTGAATTATAACATCTATTTATGTTGTTTATTATTGATAGATAAAACTAGATAGCTTTGATTGTAGTATAATAAAAGATAAAAGAAAAAATTCTTCTAAATTAGATTCTGATGCCTTACAAAAACTCTGTTACATTTTATTATGTGAAATAAAGTTCATATAAAATTCTTGTTTATTTACTTTCTTTGTATTATTATTTAAATCTTTGTCTAACTGCAATGTTATTATTACTCTGCTTTGCACAGTGAATGGTTATATTAAATTTAATAATTTTGAAAAATGTTTAATAAAGAAAATATTTAAAAATTAAGATTGATATTTGTAGCATGTTGAGCTAAATTTTCTCATTGTGATTTTGCATTTTATTTTTAGGGCATTAGAAAGATAAAGAGCATGTTGAATATGAGTTTAAGGAATATGATCTAAGTATATATATGTATTTCTTTTTTTTTTTGCTTTTACACAGTCTTATTACTCTACATAATAGAACCTGTTCGGTTTGTGGGTCTTATCAAGTTGGGTTGTGACACAAGATGCGCTGACGAGTAGGAGTGACAACTCTTACAAGATAGGAATCTAACACTTAACGGTTGATAATGAAACAAGATACAAGAAAGCACCATGTAACTAGCTCGATGTCCTGCTTTGTTATTCATAATTGTATCAATATTTGCATGCATTTACATAAGAGCATATTAATTGGTTGATAAATAAAACTGATTAAATTAGTATTGAGACTGATATAATATGACACATCATGTGACAATGACACTGATAGATGTTGATAGACATATTGATGCAACATATTGATATGACATAATGATATGTTATACTCATATATGATATAATGATTGATAAAAAATTGATAATATAACCATCGTTATGAATATAACTGATAGAAAATTAAGGTCTGTTTTACTGTACAACTCATGTTATTGATTGATAGACTTTTTACTGATTTTCTTATAGATTGATGTACTTTTTTCGCTTAGTGAGATAACCTGATTCCACTATTCTACTTGTGATTGATATTGATTTCATAGATTGGTTACTATTCATGTGATAGTAGAATAATTGATATTAATTTGAATTAGGCTTACATATTAATTCTTTTGTCTTGCATTGGCTGCAATGTAGGTTTTACTTATCTACTGAGCTTTGTAAGCTCATTATGTGATTTTGATTCAGGATTTAAGAAAGAGTCAGAATTTTGCCGAGTGAGGCTGATCAAAGTTTCCATGTTTTTTTTATGCATTTTCTTTTATTCTTTTGTAATCAGGAGCTGAAAGATAAATCATTGTATTGAATGATTTCCTGACCATTATAAATCGCATTTTGAAAGAATGAATATATAATTACGTTTGATGTATATGATTTGTAGTGGCTTTCATTGAAATTATTATTTAATGGATAATTAATGGCTATGGTTGATAATTAAGAAGATTGAAACGATACAATCTTCTAATTTAAATTCTGGGATGTTATAGAGCCAATCCTACATAATCATGTCGATCAAATATCAACACATTTCAATTCTTTTAGATCTTCATATTGTTCTAAAATTTATAAACTTGAGTTGAATTATTAGTAAGTGAATTTAATTATAATTACTAACTTATTGATGATTAAGTTTATTTCAATGAACATTAGTTGAAAAAAATAATAATTAATTTTTATGATATTTTGAATTTTGATTATAAATTTAATGAAGATTTAAGTTAAATTTACTTACTATCAAAAGAATGAAGCATAAGCTCAGTATAAATTCACCTAATTTATCTTTTGATCTGCCTAAGCCATAAGCTAAAATCATGCAAACATACATTTGCTTAAAGTGAGGTCAAAATATCTCATTTGCTTAGGTTTAAGCGTTTAAATGGCTTAGGTCGGGCTTTAGCCCCAACCAAACAATCCTTTAATAATCTATAATTAAGAGAAGCTCATCAAAATATAAGTGGAAAACTTAGCTTGAAGACAAGACAACATATATGCTGCAAGAATTACATATATTTGTGCAGCTTCTCCTTCTTTCCACAACAAAAACTCTTAGACATGAAGAAATTTTACTTAGAGAAATCCATAATGCCCACCCCCTCTCACGCTTTGGAGAGCATTGTATCGACAAAGGGGGAGTATCAGTGCTTAATCTATGCTTGTGGGAGCACTTGAAGATGGAAACCATCTGGGAATCCTAATCCTGGAGTCCGTATTATGTTCCCTCCTCTGATAGCCTTCCACCTGACCAAATTACAATCTCTCGCATGTTAATTAACTTTCTAATTGATTTGCTTTAGAATTAACTAGCTGTTTAGCAAGAGTAAACAAGATAAGTGAACACATTTAAGGACGCATCTCAAGAAAAGAAAATCAGTAGGAGGTTTGTTTTTTGATGCTAGGATGGATTTTCTTGTTGTAATGATTTTAAGGCTCCGTTTGGGATGAATTTTTATTGGTTTTTAAAGTAATTTTTTTAGTAAAAATTTTAATTTTTATGCTAAAAACTGATTTAAGAAACAATAAGAAAATCGTCCAAAGTGAAGCCTAAGAGAGAGTCTAAAAAAATGTTAAAAAACTAATAGAGGGCTTATGTGCTAATTAAGGCTTCGTTTGGGACGGCTTTCTTATTCCTTCTTAAACCAGCTTTCTAGTAGATAAATTTTAATTTTTGAACTAAAAAGGTGTTCTAAGAAGTAGTAAGAAAGCCGCCCCAAACGAAGTCTAAATCTAACCATAATTTTCCATATTAACTATCAGAAACTAATTACCTGTACTTAGTAACCAAGCAATGGAGGAAAACAGCCATTTGCAGCTTGCTGAAGTCGGACCCAACACAGAACCTCATCCCTCCACCAAAAACCATAAAATGTTTTGTTCCACCACTAAGCTCAGGCTTATCCTAAAATTAACACAAATAACAGTCTAATTAGAATTTAATTTCCAGTCAAATTAGCTTCATTTCAATTTATTTTCTTCTCAGCTTCAAAAAAATTTCCCCAAACTTATTCAAAATTGAATCAATGATATCAGTCCTAATGAAAATCATGAAGATAAATGACAGAGATTGCTTAAATTTTAATTGATCATTACAAACCTTCCATCTCCAGGGATTGAAGGACAGTGGATCCTTATATATCTCAGGGTTCAAATGAACAGCCGGTGGACAGACCATTATCCCCCAGCCTGCTGGAATTGTATATCCTGCATCCATTATAATAAGAACAGGAGTAATGTTAGCTACCATTAAGGTGTTTATCGATATATTTTCTTTATAATCTATATTATGATATATACCATTTATTTGAATGTCTTTCAGAGTTTTTCTGAAAATTCCAGGAACTATGTTTGCCAGTCTCACGGTTTCGTTGATAACCTGCATAATTGCCCAGATGCAGAGTATAAATTAAGAATTTCCAAGTTGAAAAGCCATAAATGTTCCTTTAATGATGAATTAGATAGGAGTATAGTAGAGTAAGGCTTCATTTGAGACAGCTTTTGTACTTCTTTTTAAACAACTTTCTAGTACTAAAAAGATGTTTTAAAAAGCAAGAAGAAAGCCATTCCAAAGGAAGTCTAAGGCTTCGTTTAGGATAATTTTTCAAAGCAACTTTCTAATACAAAAATTTTTTAAATTAAAAAAATTTTGTAATAAAAGGCTGGTTTAGAAAGTAATAAGAAAACTTTCGTTTGGAACAGCTTTTTTACTATTTTATGAAGTGGTTTCTTAGCAGTATAAAATTTTTATACTAAAAAGTTGCTTTATAAAACAATAAGAGAGTTGTTCCAAACGAAATCTAAGTTATATAAGAAGATGGTATCATTTTTTTTTATTAAGTATTATATAAAATTAGTATTGAAAATGTGTTGATTTTAAACGTGGAAGAAGCAGCTTTCGAGATTTAAGGGGATTTGATGCCTTACTAAGTATTTATGAGTTGGTTTCAATAACAGCTATTATTTAGATGTCTAGAGTACTTGTTTGTCATTTATAGAGGAGATTCATGGCTTCATGCATCTGGTTCTTCATGCATCTTGCATATATTATATCTCTCGCTCAGAACAATTAGAAATATTATCAAATTATGCACAGTTCATAAGAAATTAAGGCGTTACATGTGAACAAAGAGGTTCTCTTAGCTTACTTGAAATGTGAAGCTCATAGATTTATATTCCTTCCACGTGATTCCGGAATCTGGGTTCTCTCTGCTCATAATAATCCCATCATGCTCTTCCTGTAATTTACAAATTTCTTAATATCATTTGGTAGTAAACCTTTTTGTATGGTTTGCAAAGAAATTCACTAAATGTCATAAGAATATGAAGCTTTTCTATATATATATATACCTTTAGCTTTTCAAGCACTTTAGGATGATCAGTAAGAAGTTTGACGGCGAGGGTAAGAGCAAGAGAGGTGGTCTCAAAGCTTGCAAAAAGGAGTACAAAAATGAGATCCAGAGCTATAGCCACTGTTAAAACTGGCTTTTCTCCATTGAGCTCTTCCACTATACAGTCGAAGAAATCCTTGCACTCTTTTGTTGGTGATTTCATCCTCTCTGCTAGAATTCTTTCAAGTACTTTGATTGCTTTTTTACGTCCCTGAAATGTAAGCAGCTGATTCATTACACAAACAACTATGAACGTTGAACATGATCTGCTGTTGAATTATTTTATAATGACAAGAGTAAAAATCATATGAGAATAGTGTGTCAATTTCGGGTCACGGGTCTGGTTTGGAGTAAATCCGGAACTGACCCGACACTATTTGGTTCAACTAAAACCCGACCAGTTTAGGGTTTAACGAGTCGGTTTTTCGGATCCGAACCCGACCCGCCAAGTGAGTCCCCTTCGTTGATGTTCGACTTCGTTGTTCGCTCCTTGGAGGATGTTCTCTTCCCGTCAGATAGGAAGTTAGAACATTTTGATCGGAAGCAACGACGGGAGTTTGATCGTTATGAAGAACTTTCTCCGTTTCGTGCGCTTCTTCGGCCAAATTCCGTAAATGCTCCGATCCGGTTCAAAACCGGGTCATTTTTTAGTTTCCAGGTCCACCTGAACCCGACCCGGAATTCAAAACGCGTAAAAAATCAGGACCCCAACCCGACACGTTTCAGGTTCAGGGTTGACCCAAACCGATATTTTCGTGTCGCATTTGACTCGGATTTTCAGGTCCTGTCTAATATTGATACCCCTATATGAGAAGAGGGTTCAATGCTTATTTATTTATTTGGTAATGCTTCACCCACTTTTGAATGGAAAGAATGACCTGAGGAAATTTTGATCGGGATGACTTTAAAATCATACAAGAAATTTGTGTTATAACATGCCTGCAAACACTTATGGTACGCAGTTCCTGGAACATTCACAGGAAAGGAGATTAATCCAGTTATGAAAGCAGCAAAATTGCTCCTCAAATCCTCTGATTCACTGGAAGCATCATAGCCAATCAACTTCTTAGTAGTGAGGTCAAATATCATCTACATTGATAATAAAACAAATTATTAGAATCTTAAATATAATCGTATATTAACTTAAAATTTGATAAATTATTTGTTGAGATTAAGGTTTTGATTGGGACGATTTTTTTGTTGCTTTTTAAAACAGTTTTTAAGAATTTTTGTACTAAAAACATGCTTTAAGAAGCAGGAAGAAAATCGTCCCAAAAGAAGTCTAACTTACAGCTGAGATCTTATCTTTGAGCTCAATGCTCGACTCGCGAGACCATAAGCTGAGTCTGTCACGAGACATCTTCTCCATATCTTGAAGCATAGTCACTTTAAGGTTTTCAGGGCCAAAAAGCCTAAGAACCAAAGCCTTGAGGTATTTGTACATGTAACCGTCCAGTTCAGCAACGTTTTCTTTTCCAAAGATCTCTTTGAATGTTTCCGGATAAGAGCTCTTAAACAGTTTTCCCTCTTGCTGGAATACCAAGTGGTTCAGCTCCGGGTCGGTCGATATAACAATGGGTCGGCCGACTAAGCTGGTCTTGAACACTGGTCCATATCTATATAAGCCGGTTCACCGGAGGAGGAAAAGATTAGGTATTTCACATACAATTTTATGTTTAAAGGAATACAATTTTATTTCAAATAAATTTTTAGGCAGTGAAAAATTTTGTAACAGATGCTTCTCTTATAGATAAAAATTCAAATCTTTTCATTAAGAAAAAAAATATTTTAGAACCTCATATAAGTAGACGATAGAATAATCATATGAAGTCTAGTATAATAAAGCCATCCCAAACAAAACCTTATTATATTCTAGAGCAGTTTTCTAGTACAAAAATCTCTTGAACTAATTTTTTTACTAAAAACTGCTCTAGAAAATAATAAAAAAGCCATCTCAAATGAAGTCTTAGGCTTCGTTTGGGACGGCTTTTTTATTGCTTTCTAAAACGGAGTTTTAGTACAAAAATAAAAAATTTGTACTAAAACTCCGTTTTAGAAAGCAGTAAAAAAGCCGTTCCAAACAAAGCCTTGATTTAGAGGATCTAGTTCTAAGTAAAGCCACATCTTAAGGACAAATTTATAAATTGAGCCCCAATCTTTAAAAGAAAAAAATTTTAGATCTGAATATTCTAATTAATAAAATTTGGACATAATAAATTTCAAAATTACTAAATTTATTTTGAAATTCATGTAATATATGATTATTCAATTAAAATTTTTCTATAAAAATATTTCTATTTATTCTATAATAAAAAATACCAACAAAATATGACAATAACAAAACAAAATTCAGTAAGAAAATATACATATATCATAACTAACATGTAAATTAAAAATAGAAAAAGCAAACATTAGTGTAGTAAAATGCAGAGCAATGCACCTGTTCATCCTTTCTTTGACAAATGGAGAGATATCGAAGGTTGTATATGGAGAGAAGAACTGGATGGTTTCTCCTAGAAGAGGCCAGCCCATGGAACCAGGAGGGAGTTTTCCTCTGTAGCTTTGGTTCCTCCATCTCTGTAACCAGTACCGTATCAGCAAGATGGTGATCAAACCACATAAGGCCATGGCATAAGTATTCATATTTATATGCCCTGCAAGTCAAAACCTGCAAACTTAATATATGTGAAAGAAGAGGAAGGAAGAGTAGTTGGATACTAATGCACATGGAAATGGCAGAAAATAAGGAGAGAAGCAGGAGGAGAGATCCAGGGACTGAACTATATGGTGAAGGGAGGTGACCTAAAGAAGTTTAAATAGGGAAACTTACACTGCTCAATATTTAAAAAATGCCACCTTCTTTAATATACTGTATTTTTAAAACTTTACTTTATAAAGAGACATTATCTCCGTTCAAAGCCATAGGGTAGCCACGAGAGATTATTATGTGTGGAGTCGGGAAACAGAGAATCGTTCGGTTTTGTGACGGTGAACAGTAAAAACGCAGTTGTTGTTCTCCACTTTGCTTTTACTGTTCACCCACCCATGTGCTTTTACTATTCACAGTCACGAAACCGAATGATTCTCTTTGTCCGGACTCCATATAATACTCTCTTGAGTAGCCACACAACATTTTTCTAATGAAAATTGTCCTTTTTAGGGGATTTTGATTTTATATGTTTTGTATCTTTTAAAATTGAAGAAAAATGTTGGCTATTTTGTTTCTTGAGAAAATAGGCTCGAATTTTTCTTTTGGAAGGCAATATCTTCATAATTTAAAGAGATGCTCAAATTTATATTAGTAACTTTTCAAATAAAAAATTAATTGACCCCTCATGTTTTTAGTGTCTTCCTTTTCTCCGACAATTCTCATTCGCAAGTGATGCTTCTAAGACTGATGGCCCGACCTCAGCTACCACTACAGGAAAATAGTTAATTTCCGGCGGAAATAAATTTGATAGAAATTCCGGCGGATTTCCGATGGAAAATTTTTTATGGAGCTTCGTCGTATTTTTTGATTGGCTTTCCAACGGATTTCATTTCGACGGAATTTCCGATGGATTTCCGACGAAAATTAAATATGTTTTAAAAAAAAGTTGTAATAAATTTTTATAATGATTAATATTGTTAATTTAGTAATTTATTATCAAATTAAATTATTTATGTTATAATATAATAATATATTTTTAAAATTACATTATAATTAATTAGTTTTAAATTTAATTAATTTTGATATTAATTAATTAGTTCTACTTAAAATAGAAAAAAGTATGATTTTTAGCAACTTTTAATCTTTGGCCTAATGGTTGGAGCGGGAAGAATATCAAGTGGAAGGGATTTGAACCCCGTCGAGGGCGGACTGAGGTGGGGAGGGTTGCTAAGATTGAAAAAAAGAAATTTCTTTTTTTCCAGCTCAAAGACAATCCGTTGGAATTTTTTTTTTCTAACGAATTTTGCTGTGAATTATGTAACGCCGGAAGGGCTTTTCCGACGAGCGTTTTACCGTCAGAATAATTTCCGTCGGAAATGCTCATTTGCAACGGATTTTAGCCATTTTTCCGATGAAAATGAACACCAAAAAATAATGTTTTTCCTGTAGTGTCCATCGACCCTCTGCCCTAGCCGACGCCGGCTTCTAAGGCAAGCGGCGAGAAGAAACGGGAGCGGCAGCGTAGGAGCTACATCTCTTGATCGGACATTAGGAGATCGGAACCAACCCTTACGCTCTGCCTTCCTTTGCTTCAAGTTATTGTGGAGAGCCTCATGATTGATCCGATATGCTGCCTTCGTTTGCTTCAAGTTATTGTGGAGAGCCTCATGATTGATCCGATATGCTGCTTGTTGTTATAAAGATGTATGAGCTCATGCACTCTGCTAGGGTTTTCCAACCCTAGCCCTCCGCGTCCATGCCGTCGTCCCTGCTGGATCTGATTCTCATTTTGACGTCAGGGAAGTTTTTCTTACTTCCTCTTGTTGACATGTTCACTTTTTCATTGTGGTTTTTTTGTTTTATAACAAAAATTTTAAAACTTAATGGATCACTAAAATCTAACAAAAGAACAAATATTTCACTAAAAAAAGGGTCATTAAAATCCAGCAAATGAAAATATTTGTAAACCAATGAAAGATATCTAAAATCTAACCTAAAACATAAAGATTTCTTAAAACCATATTTATAATCTAAATTGAAATATATATTAAAAATTTTAAGCCCTAATATGATGGATGATACCTAAACCTTAGAAAATACCTAAAACACCTAAAACACACTTAGGTTCCTCTTGATATATGAAAAATCACAAACAACTTGAAGGGGAATTAATTTGGAGGAGTGTTTGTATAAGAATACAAACACATTTATCATTTCTATTCTATTTCTTTAAATATAAAATTAAAAAAACAAAACAAAAAATGTAAACCTATGGTTACGGTTCAGACGCCGGTTTTGCGCACGAGTGGGGGCGAGATCTTCAGCCGTGCTTTGATGCTGGAGTGGGGGAGAGATTTTCGACCGAAGGGAGCTTGTCGGCGGTCGGATTCCTGCGCAGGAGGCGCACTCGATTACGAGAGGGCGGAGGAGACGGGGGCGATTGTCTGTAGGGAGAGAGAGAGTAACATGCGAGGAAATGAAATGGAAGGCTCGGGATAGCTAAATTTAGGATAGTTTCTGGCGGCTTTCCGGCAGTTCTTACTGACGGAAACAATTCACTTAAAACCGGCGGTTCAAGCCGCCAGTAACGCACTGGTAAGAAATAATACCGGCAGGCTAACCAGCAGTTATTTGACCACCGCTAATTCCGACGACGGTTAATTAAATAACTGCTGGTAAAAATCGTCGGTCTAATTGCCGGAAATTCATGAATTTCTTGTAGTGATATTCACCTGACCATATCAAAACACTGAATAAAGAGCACGAGTAAAAAGGTAAACCAATTATATGTCTGACCATATCAAAATAGTAGAATAGAAGGTGAAAGGATCTTGCATTCACTTGACCATATCGAAAAAATGAATGAGGGTGACTCGATACTTACCTGACCATATCGAAACAATAAATAATGAAATCATGAAATCGAATGTCCGCATGACCATATTGAAACAGAAATATAATCAGGAAAAGGAGTCTGACATTCACCTGACCATATCGAAATAGTAAATGTAGACAACTCGATGTTTTCATGACTATATCAAAACATTGAAATAAAGAGTGAAGGGGTGGTGAGGTATGCCTCTCAGGGACTCTGTTGAGCTCTCAATCAATTATGATTTAATATTTGCCTGACCATATTAAAACAACAAATAAGAACGGCTCAATACTTACCTGATTATATCAAAACAGTGAGTAAGGAGTCAAAGGGTGGTGGGGTATGCCTCCCTAGGTACTCTGTCGGGCACCCAACCAGGCAAGGTTCAATATTTTCCTGACCATATCAAAACATCAAATATGAATGGCTCAATACTCACCTGATCATATCAAAATAGTGAGCAAGGAGTCAAAGTAAGGAAGTAAACCAATTATCTGCCTGACAATATCGAAAAAACATAATAAAAGGTGAAAGGATCTCACATTCACCTGATCATATCGAAATAGTGAATGGGGGTGACTCAATATTTACATGACCATATCGAAATAGCAAATAAAGAAGTCACGAAGTCTAATGTCTGCCTGGCCATATCAAAATAGCGAGGCAAAAAAGAAAAGTCACCTCAACACCAACCTGACACAAATATGTATAGGGATGTGAGGGAGAAAGGAAAGGTAAGTGGAAGAATTCCAAGGAAGTAGTTATCTAAGAAATCCCGTGCAAATATTTTAGTTACCACGTGGTAGATGACAAATCGTCTTGACCATGAGTATCCAAATACTGATGTAATTTCTTAGGCAACACTAACATCACATAAAAAGGGGGAAACATCAGACTAATGCCTTAAGGGACAACGGGAAATTAAGATACACCATCAGCGAAGTGTGAGAGGGACGATCTCATTTCGAGTGAGTAATAACTAAAGTAGCTAGGGGACTATCACACCTAACCTGAACATGACAAGTCCTATCGCATTGAGCTGTGACAGACAAATCCAAAGATCTAGTTTTGAAATTATTTTAGATTTTTTTGCTAATATTCAATGAAATAAACTACAGACTATAGAACTAGTAAAATATCCAAATACTAAAAATAACTCATCCACTAAGTTTCTTTTATTTCATCAAAATAAATATCTACACTACAATATAAGACTATAGAAAAGATCTACAAAATTGAAAATTAAACTAGTCATGACTGTACAAAAATCAAAATAATAAAATACTTATGATCTCAAATCTGATCCTAAAGTGCTAGTCCACAACCTCTTTCCCCTTCACAGGTCTTAAAAATCAGAATTAAATCACAGTGAACTATAACAGCTCAGCAAATCACATAAACCAATCTATATTTTCAAATATTTTTTTTATCAAATGTTTTGCTGAAAATTTTAAAGCAGTTAATTACAGTTTAACAATCTTTTTTTAAAAGGTTGTGATTGGGTGTTATCCTTTATTGATTCACGTGATGCAATGATATAACGATTAAGAGTTATAAGGAGTTATTACCGTATCAACAGGAAAAGAGTGATGACTTTATTTATTGAGCCAATAGTTACTAATTATTGATTATTGACTATTGAAAATATCATGATAGTCATGACTTCTTATTGTTTAAGTGTGACCACCAAAATATATGTTACAGATTCATTAATACTTTACAGCTTTCTTGATATTATTGATTTACTTTCATTGTACATATTTATTATTACTACATTGATTTACTATTACTATCGCCAATTTTATTGATGACAACATACTGATATTATTACTAATATATATATCAATATTATTTGATACTACTATTATTAATCATGTGATATGATAAGTCCTATGAGAAGTACATGATATACTAAGCATATCGCATTGATTCACTGTACTAATATTAATCATGTGATATGATAAGTACATGATATACTAAGCATATGATTAAGATACTGATTCGATACTTATATAGAATGTAAAACCCCCTCCAAAGCTGATTTTTTTGAGTGCAGTTAGTCCGTACGAACTGGCTTTAGTACGGGACGAACTGAAGAAAATTGTGAAGAAATCTGCCAATTTGGTCTAGACGAACCTGGAAGGGTTGGGACGATCCGTCTGGACGAAATTTGTCCAGAGAGCAAGTCGTCCGGACGCTATTTAATTTCGTCTGGACGAAAATTTCTGCCATAGGGCAAATCGTCCCGGGACGAATTTTGGATCGTCCAGGACGATCAGTGTTAATAAATATCCGATAGAGATATTTTGAAGAGAGAGAAAGAGAATTCAGGAGAGAGAAAGAGAAGGAAAGAAAGGAAAAGCTTGGTTTTGGAGCCCGCGGAGCGC